CACTTTACACAACTGATGTTTGTATGGATTGTGATAAGAGTTGTATGAGCCCCTAATAAAATGATTTTTTTAAAGTTATTTGTCTTAAGTGATCCCTGAGAGATCTGTGGAGATTGAGATCCTAAACAAGTCCTTGGAGTGATCCCACTTATTGGATACCAAGAAATAGTAGAGTAAAATCTCTGTGTCTGCTAAAACTAGAAATCAAGGTATTTTGAGAGCAATACAATTCACAAATTGGAGAATCACAGGGCAGAGAGGAGTTTACCAAGTAATCCAAAGCGTGTAGGAAAAGGTGTGCTTTTATAATAAAGATGGGAAAAGTGAGTGACAGTCACACGGTCTCAAAGTGGTTACCATCAACTACTACTTTCCAGAACATCTTGAGTAAATTCATTCTGCTGCAATAACTTTTCTGAACTCTACCCTTATTTACTAAGAGTTGCTACACCACATTTGCTGACCTTTGCTTGGAGCGAGAACCAGGTTAAGCAAGATGATTGAGATTGGACCAGGGACTTCCATTCATCTGGAGGCCCGATGTCTCATGAACATTTCATTCAGCCCTCATTTCAGTGATTTTACTATGCAAAATTTTTGTTTTAGAAGATTGCTGGTACATAATTTCAAACCTAAGGAACCATCTGGGAAATCTGTGAAGTGTTACAGTACCATGGGTTTGTGTGTGCGTGTGTGCGCGTGTGTGCGCGCACCATGGAGTCAGTTCTAACTCACACAGAATAAAATATTGCTTTGTCTTGTCCCATCCTCATGAGCCTACTCCCAATCTGCTTAGCTCTGTGTAATGCTATAAATTCTACAGCTTGCCCAATGCACCCACACTGAAGATTTAAGATATGTTGCCACAGTATGTGTGAGTATATATCAGATCTTACCCACAATTAAGTTGTTATTTCTTTCCTGATAACATGTTATGGTTTTTTAAAAATATTTTATTGGGGGCTTTCACAGCTCATAACATTCCACACATCAATTGTATCAAGCATAGTTATACATGTGTTGCCATCATCATTTCCAAAACATTTTCTACTTCAGATCTTGGTATAAGGTCCTCTTTTTGTTTTTCCCTCCCTCCCCCATCCTCCTACCCTTGTGATTTCTTGATATATTGCTATTATTATTTTGTATTTACACTGTCTATTGTCTCCCTTCACCCACATTTCTGTTATTCATCCCCTTGCGGGGGTGGGGGAGGCTAACTATTCAACCTGGTGATGGGTTCCCCCTTTCTCCCCCTTCTCCCTCCCCAACCATCCCCTTCCCCTCATGATATTGCTACTCCCACTACTATTTCTGCAAGGGTTTTCTGTACCAATGGATGTTCTCCTGTCTAGAGCCAGGTCATGGTAGTGGGGGGACGAAGTATTCAGGAACTAGAGGAATGATGTGTGATTTGTCGGTGCTATACTACACTGTGGTTGAATCATCTTTCTTATACCTCTTTTGTGGGGGGGTATTCAATTGTCTACAGATGGACTTTGGGTCTCCACTCCAATGCCCCTCACTCACATCGATATAGTTATTTGTTTTGGATCTTTTGATACCTAATACCTGAACCCATCAACACCTCATGATCACACAGACTGATGTGCTTCTTCCATGTGGGTTTGTGGGTTTATTTGTCTCCTTGCTAGATGGATGCTTGTTTAACTTCAAGCCTTTAAGACCCCAAACTCTTTATCTTTTGATAGCCGGGCACCATCCACTCTCTTCACCACATTTGCTTATGCACCCATTTTGTCTTCAGCGATTGTGTTAGGAAGGTGAGTATCAAAGAGTGCCAGGCTGATAACTTTAAGCCCTTTCCTCCAAAGAAAGTGAGATAGTTAAGGTCTATTGTGCCAACCTGGCCAATAAATATATGTGGGATTAATTGAAGGGCAGAGAGATAAATGGCTCGGTAAGCCTTGCATTTCTAGTTCTCAGATCTCTTTCTCTCTGAGGGTGGGACCAGGATGCAGCTGCCTTAACTAGTTCCCTGCTTTAGCTGGAAAGGCTAGCTTCCTGCAAGCCATACCTGAGAAGCCACATGAACCTACCCCAATGCAGCCCTGGGTGGTGGAGCAGCTGCGTGGAGACCCCTGCCAGCACTGAAATGCTTACACACTCACTGATTCGGCTTTCCTCCTGCAGTTGGCGTCATTGTGTGTATTTTGTGAGATCGAGAAGGGATTTGTAGATCGGTGTCAGACATATGGACTAATGTTGGACTTATGGGTTTGGACAGCACTGAGTTGGGAAGCTTTCTTAATCTACACTTACTCTTTATATAAAACTCTCTTATACATGAGTTTCTGTGGATTTGTTTCCCTAGTTTACCCAGACTAACACAGAAAGTATCCCAACACAACAAGCAATTATAACCAGGTCTGGCCTGCCAGACCTTTGACAAACCAAAAGTCATAACCTACAGTTGACCCAAGGACAAAATAACTTTGGTTAAGAAATAATAGTCTTGAAAAAAGACGTAACCAAATCAGACACTTGTAAACAAAAAGCCAAACTAATTCTTGACCAAGAATCATAACAGCTGATGCATATTCATGAGTAATCCCTGGAAATGTTACATATTCATAAGCTCCTCAATTTACTTCCTGTTATGCAAGTACAGTATAACACTGCAAATCCTCCTTTGGGGGGCTGAGGGAGGGAGAGAGCTTGCCTTGGCATCTCCTGTCTTGGATTGTGTGGTAGTTACATAATCTGGTGTCAATTTGGACTTGAGAGGATTAAGAGTGAAGGGGTGGTGTCTAGTCTGTTGTGCATCACAGATTCACTTCTGAATAGGCAGGCACACTGGACTTTAGATTCCCTTTGAGGCTAAGCCATGATAGGATTCATCTGACATTAAAAAAAACCACTTGCATACTAATAAGCTTCTAATTGTCTCATTTGCTGCAAACCCTGTATCAAAAGCTGAATGAGTGAAAATGAGAATGAAAACAAAATGTATGCTGAAAGGCGACATTTTTTAACGGCCCGGTGTGTGTGGATGATGGGATATGGCCGCTGTGCAACCATAAGGAGGAGCGCGTGCTCTATAACCAGAACATCCTGAATTTCCTTATCAGTGAAAAGTAAGCTGATATTTGATCTGTACATATAGTTCCATAGTTCTGAAATAGTCTATTTGGGAAAAGTAGAATCAAGTATATATCAAAACTTACAAATACAAAAACAACATTAAGTTAGAGATATAATCCACAACATTTTATTCAAGTTAATCCACTCATACAATAATCAGTTACCACTAATATTATTTCACTTACTATTTAATATTATTTAGTCATTATTCTCCTAGAAGAAGATAATAAGGATAAGTCTGGGTTGGATTCCCATATTTACCCCAATAGTCAAAAATATAACCTTACTGTATCAATATCTTAATCACAAAAGAAACTGAGGAAAAGAGAAAGTGCAGAAATTTATCTCCACTAGAAATAAATCATGACACTCATACTTTTTCAGGGTTGTATTTTTACGTGGGTCTTTTGGGGGACTGAGGTCTTAAAACTATTGCTTAATACAAATTATATACCTCACTCTACAACAGAATGGGAATGAGAAGCAGGGCCCTAATGACTCCTAGGGGTGACTATCATCGTGCTAGGGTACAAGTCTGTACATCATTCCCAGATCCCTGCAACCAGTCAGCCAGTAGTAAGCGGTGTCTCTAGATGAATGGAAGAGGAGATAGTTAGCTGGTAACTCCTGGGTTAGAGTCTCTGCAACAGGAATGTCTTTGTGTTTTGTAAGTCAGGGGAAGGGAGAGAGACTCATAATCTGGAAAAAGTCTGGAAAATAAGAAAGTATGAAAACAATTCACAGGTTTCCCACTAGAGGACCCCCCCAAAAATCAAGGACAGTTTAGAGGTTTTCTTTGACATGAGTGTACATGACTATGTTCTGCCATTTTCACGTGAAAGCTGAAATGATACTAAAAGAGGAAAATAGAATCACAGATTCCCTCCCTTGTTCAACAAACAGTGATAGGGAGTCTGTACGCATGGCAGGGAGTCCGAGGCTGAAGGGAAAATCAAACTAAGATGTGGCACTGACTTGAAAGAGCAACTTGGTAGTACTCACAAGACCTCAACACCGAGAACACACAGTCAGGGGCTTTGGGGTCCCCAGTCAGAGGGAAGGATCTGAGAAGGCATTCTCCGCCTTCTCCTTTTCTAACCATGTCCTCTGTGTAGGTAAGGGAAGGTAATTGCTCAGTCTGCCCTGCCCAGACAACCCATGTCTTCCTTCTTTCTCTGGTGTTTGAGAGTCAGAACTTGCTTCACAGGGGCCTGCTGAATGTCTGAAGAATGGATGTGTTGTAGGTTTGCTCCAGATGGGTTGGGTTAATACAGAATGGGGGAAAAGTTTTGAGAAAGGAGAGGTTACACGGTGGAGGTGATACTGGACAAAAGGCAAATCTAGTATTGGGGAGAACAGTAGGAAGTATAGAATAGCCAGAGGAGAGCTTTGCTTAAATAGTAAGGGGAGTGAGGAAGAACGCAAATTAATATAGCGTCACCTGACAATCAGGTTTAGGTATATCTGGTCTTTATTCTGGAGACTAGATGGAGCACCTGACTGCATGAGAGAAAGGGAGTAACATGTTTTAAGTTAAAAGAGATTGGTTTTGTTTCCCAATGATGTGCAGAAAACCCGGAAATAAGGAAGCTGCTGCCATAGTGTAGTGTTAACGAAGACCTTGGACAAGAGTGGCTGGAGTGGGAATGGCAAAGCTATCCTGAAGTGACAAAAGAACTTGTTCATTGAGCCCAGTAGTATATACAGTGGAAAGCATCCAAAGCAATTGCTAGGTTCTTAGCCTAACTGGTATAGAGAGCACCACCAAATGCAAGGACCTCCAGAAGATAGCTTATAGTCAAAGAAGTTAGTCTGTGGAATTGAAGAGCACATTCTTTCCCTGCTTTTCTCTTAAGTAACAAGTGGTCTACTCAGCTCAACCACAACATATGAGAGAACAATGAATAACTCAACTTACTGCCAGGGTTGATGCCAACTCAATGGTGATTGTAAAGGACAGAGTAGAATGGGCCCTGTGGGTTTCTGACACTATACTTTTTTATTTATTTGGAATGATGTTTTATGGCATAAGAAAGCCATATCTTTCTCTTAAATCAATAACTAAAAGGTCTTAAATAACTTTGAAGGAAGCAAACTTTCTAGAAAGTAAAGTGATAAAGCAAACATCATGATGTGTTACCCACATCACACACACCCTGCCTTAAAAAGGTAAGGTTGAACGTCAAAATGGAAAGAAAGCTCTTAGATGTCTTCTTTAAGTTTTCTTCTTGTGCTTTGGTCTGTACGCAATCAAGATGGAGAGAGAAGCTATTCCAAAGAGGAAAGTCTGAATGAACCAGAGTAGCCGAGCCCAGCCATTCGTGATGCCTTTATACCTAAAAAAAAAAAAAAAGAGGGGGGGGGATGACAAAGTAAAATTTAAACAACGGAATTTTAATCATGTGGTTAAGTAAGAATTATTGATTTTTTTAAGAAACATACTTCTTCCATCAACTTTCACTTGAGTTTATTTTATTGTTTTTCTATGGCTTCTAAACTTTAGAGGTTAGTTCGTGTATGTTTTATCTTTATTAGTTTTTAATAGATGTATTTAAAACAGTACATTCTTCAACCAACATCCAATCTTGCTACTGTCTAGGGCACCTGTTATTATAAAATTGTTTCTCATATGATTCTAACATACAGACATGATTAAGTAGAACTGGTACAACTTCAGAGAAAAATATTTGAATAGACTCGATCAGGAGTCGGCAACTATTTGAGATGGAAGAGCCAATCCAGTCCCTCACAACAAGTTATAAACAAATGAAATCAACATTATAATAATTTTATTTCCATTTTCAATTTTACTTCAGAGTCACACATACATGCTGAAAGAGCTTCAGACGGCTCTCGAGCCACAGATTATGGCCCCCAGGACTAGATGTGAACCCTAGTCTAGCCCAAGCAACGTTGTAACCTTGGGCAAGTCACTACATCTCTCTCAGAATCAGTTTCCTCATGTGAATAGTCACGATGTCACCAAGTTTTGAGATGATTTATAATATATACAAATTGCTTAGTATAACCTAGCACATAAAAATAATAAACTGTTTAATAGTTGAGGTAGTTAGTTTATTGTGCCAACCTGGCCAATAAACACATGTGGGATTAATTGAAGGGTGGAGAGATAAATGGCTCAGGCGAACCTCGCCTTTTTTGTCTCTTGCTCTTTGATTATCAGACCAATGTGCGGCTGCCTTGCTTGTTCTTTGCCTCAATTTGCAAGCTACACTACCTGTGGGACACCTAACCCGTGGACTGTGTCGCTGTAATTTGAGGTTCCTTCAAGACCTGCTTCTCCACACAATTGGAATTTACATCTCTTGAGCTAGGGATTGTCAGTCACTGTCATCTGGCTGACTGTTGGTGACCTGCCTTGCTGTTTTCTGCCTGTGCCCGGATAGCCTGAATTGCTCTACAGACTTGAAGGACTGCCAGTGTCTCACAACTGTCTCATGGGAGTGAGCTGCACTAAGCCGTTTGTACTGCTTTATAAATTAATTAACTGTTTCTTTCTTATGTTATATATCTATCTATCGGTATAAATATATATAAAATTATTAGCAATCTGGTTTTGTCTCTCTAGAGAACCCTGTCTAACACAATAGTTGTGATAGGTTTTTGTGTGCCAATATGGCACCTGCAAAAACAATGAGGGGTCTGGGTCATTTTAAGTCTGTCAGGATTGGTTGCTGTAATTTACCATTTACTTTAATCACAGGACATGGTAGCACTAAGAGTCGACCTATGGGATCTCCTGGATTTCAGACATATTCTTCTTTACCTCCATTATGTAGCACCAGTCCAATTTCTCCTTGGTAATTAGGATCAATCACACCACTCAGTACAGTGACACCCTTCCTGACCTATTGATCCAAAGGCATGAGAAGCCCAAAGTGGCCAGGGGGCATTCTCAGCTGCCAGTTCGGGGAATCTGTGCTGTGTTTCCAGGTGGGAGAGTTCCTTCCTTCGGGACCAGGACCTCCAGGCCTGAGGAGCACAGGGTAGCTGGGACAGGAAGCAAAAATGCTGCAAGTGGATCACTAGGAGTAATAGTGAGTAGTGCCACTCCATCTTTCACCCCTTGGTTCCTGGACCCATGAATTCTAGCTATTGGAGACACAGCACCAAACAGGTAGCCTGGCAATCGGGTTGCATGCAGCCTGATGATCTCCCTTAGAGGTGCAACCAAAATATGCAGGTCTCTGGAGACCAGCCTCTGCCTTCCCCTTCCTGCTTACTGGCCTCCCTAAGAACTGCTAGAATCCTGCCGTGTTTCCACTGACCTCGGATCCACACAACATTGTGGATCTACCAGCCTGTGGTCTTCCTGCATTCTGCACAATTGCACAGTCTGAAGGGGGATTTATGAACTAATATTGGACTTATAGATTTAAATTGGACTGGGCTGGGATGTTTTCTTGATATATAGTTACTTCTCAATACAAAGTTCTCTCTTAAAAATATATGAGTGTCACTGGATTTGTTTCTCTAGTCAACCTGGCCTAGCACAATAGTCTTTCTTATATGTGAAGCTGCTAACCACAAAGTCAGTGGTTCAAAACCACCAGCTCACTCTGCAAGAGAAAAGACAGAATTTTCAATTCCTGTGAAGAGTTACAGTCTGGAAAATGCACAAGGGCAATTCTACCTGTCTTACAGGGTCACTAAGAGTTGACGTTGCTTTTGGCAGTGAGTTTGGTTTAGTTTATAGTCTTTTAAACTTCCTAAAACAAAGTTCAAGAAAGCCAAAATATCACCTTGACTATATCCCCTCTAAGCTTAGCAAGACCATCTCAAGAATAGATTTGACACATTGAAAACTGACGAGCAGAGACCAGCTAATTTGGGGGATGACATCAAGGATATGATATAAGAAGAATAAAGTATCATTAAGAAGAAAAGATCAAAATGATTGTCAGCGGTCCCATTACCAACTAAGTGTACAGCACCACCCTCCCCCCAAGAAGAATTCACTTCAGAGGACAGCACTGAAGCTACAGCTCAAGATGAGGGGAAGAGGGACTGGTCTGGTCAGAGCACACAGGCGCCAACGAGGGGGGACAGGGATAAAAAAAGAGTGAAGCACATCCTGGCTCACTGAGCCCTGAGGACAATGTTCCTGCTCAGAACAGTAATGCACAGAGATGACCACAGGGCCGGCCCCACCATGGGACACAGCATTCCTCATTGACCCATAGCACCATTGGGGACAACACTAGAGACACACGGCGGGAATTGTGCCCGCCATGAGCTCACCACGCCGAAGCCAGTCTCTGGGGACATTCAGCAGAGCAGCGGGGGGAGCAGAGTAATGAAGGGATAGAGGCAGTGCCAGGGCATGGCACCCCATCAGACTTGACTGGGAAGCACCCATGAAGGAAAACAAACAGACCCTGAACTATTTCTACGTTTATGTGTGTATGCGTGTGTGTTGTTGTTGTAGCTATTGTTTTACTTTCTGTTGTTGCTTCGTTGTACTCAGTCTTGTGATGGTACATAGCATGTCTACCTGGAAGGGATAGGCAG